CATACGTCCAGTGATAAACTTCCTCCAACAAGCTACACCTCCCAAACCTCCCCAACATCATCAGTTGGGGACCAAATGTTCAAATTCCTGAGACTATGGAGGGCATCACTTTCATAGCAAACTACCAGGAGATCTGAGCACTTCCTACTGTTGGTAAGTACTAAGTGACTCAGAAGGAACTTGAGTACACACTAAAATAACTGTAATGTAGTATAAATAAAATGTACAATGGCACAATCTGAAAAATAGGTATGAGGGTTTATTCTTGAGATATAAGGTCAAGGAAAAAATGAATAGAATATAGAACAGATTGAATTTTATTGAGCATAATGAAAAGCATGAAGTTAACATAGTCTGGATTTGAAGCTATATCTCCTGCAACTAGATTTGGTTCTGATAGTTTGCTAGCACCTTGAAAACCATGGCTCATGTTTACTGAAATAGAGATGCCTCTGACCAAGGTAAAGGATGAGAAATTTGTCTAATTCTTCTTAGGAACACAAGGTTGTTGGAGCATAGTCACAATGTGCTACCTGAATTTATTGCCCTATAATCCATATCCCAGTGTAACTGGAGGACACTTGTCTTATAAAACCATAGGAAGTGTGGGGTGTTGATTACTAACAAAATGAAATACATTCATAGAAAAGCACACCAGAGGTAAGGTAGTCATTAGAACATTTCTAATTTATAGTCCAAGGGTCCTTATCATGGGATACCCACAGACTTGCTGCTAGACCTCTGCTGGTATTTGCCAAACTTTCCCTATAAAACTAGACATAAGAATATCTTGTCCTTTGCAGACCAAGAGGCCAAAAAGAAGATGTTTCAGAGGTAGTTAAATAAAAGTGTTCACTGATTTAGTGAAAAAGTATAGCCCTATGAACTGGGTGTAAATTCCTTGTAATAAATATAGTCTGGTGAGTGCTGTGGAATAATCCTTCTGTACACTATGAAGATGTGTTGCTCTCATTGTTAATAAAAAGCTGATTGGCTGATGGGTAGGCAGTATTTTGGGGACAGAGAGAATGCTGGGAAGAAGTGCTATGAGCCAAAGAAACATGAAGCAGGAATTCAGCTGACTATAGCAAAGGCTAATACCTAGAAGAAGCAGGGCTTTTCCAGAGGATAAAACTAAGCTTCAAGGAGTCTTGGTGATGTCAGCTTTTGAATATATATTAGCCAGTTCCTGCAATGATTTTCTTGTGTGCTATGATAGCTTTCCCAATTAATTCTTCTTCTAAGAACTTCTAACAGTATATTTTTTCTGAGATACCTCTCCAACATCCAAAGACAAACAGTAAACACAATAAGCATTCCAGACCACCTGATGGTCTCCTGAATTAAGATAAATATCAATATCCATCTGGAGACACCACCTAGGCCCGGCAGACAAGGCGGACATTAAGTACATAGTTTTGTTGCTTGTGCACATAAAGCTCAGACCTTCCTTTCTTCCTCATCTCAGATGGCACCCCAAGACTTCCCCTCCAACAATTAGCTCAGAACAAAAGGACTTTTTTCATACCAGGTGCATTCAAGCTATGATGCAGGTTTCCTAGCTCTGAACAGACTTACCTGGCCCAACCAGAAAGTGGCAGGGCAGAGAACTGCTGATTGTAGGTATAGAGATGAGTCACAGAGAGAGGTAGGAGAGGAACAAAGATCGAGAGGATATTGGGAAGAAGAGGACCAGAGAGATGGAGTCACCAAGAAGAAGCAGAGGGAGCAGGAGATGAACATGTCTTACTGAAAAAAGGTACTGCCAAGTGGTAGAGGGTAGATTACTAAATATGGGTTAATTTAAGTTGTGAGAGCTAGTTATTAATAAGCCTAAGCTATTGGCTGAGCATTTATAATTAATAATAAGTCTCTGCGTGATTATTTGGGGAGCCATCTTGCAAGACAGAGCTAATTGGGAAGTATATGTATGTATGAGATAAATGAGCCTCAGGGTAGCATATGGATTAATAGAAATGGGCTAATTTAAGAGCTAGCTAAAAACAAGCCTGAGCTATCAACTGAGCATTTATAATTAATATTGTCTCTGTATTGTTATTTGGGGGAGTGGCTGGCAGGGCAGAGCTGATCAGAGGTCTAGATGGAAAACACTGCCTACAGGTGAGAAGAACAAAAAGGAGAGTATAATATTTCACTTAATTCAGGCTCTAAGTTAGTGCTTTCTGTCATCAAAATTGCTTGCAAATGTCATCTGTTAAAGCTGATTTTTAATAAACTTTTTTTAATGTAACCTAATCTTTGAAACTCTTTTTCACACAGATAAGTATTGCCAAATATTAGCTTCGAAACCAGGAGTGTATCATTTTAAGCATACTCATCACTTAGAAGTTACTTACATAACTCAGGTCCCTCTCTTATATAGCCACCACATGGTGTAATTACAAGGACATGTTCTGAGCAATGTGCTACTAGACAACTTTGTAGTTGTGCAAATGCAGAGTGCACAGTACATACTAGTGTAGCCTATTCGTGTAATCAAGAGACACAGTAAACAGGATGAGGCTGCCCCAAGCATGACAGTGTTGTTTCATAGTAGATGGTTTATTTTAATATATATGAAAAGGACGTTTGATACCATTTATTGCCACAACCATGCATTATGCACTGTTCACAACTGTGTGTGATCTGCTTTAATACAGCAGGTTTATCCACACCAGCATCACCACAGATATGTCAGGAATGTATTGTGCTTTGATGTCACCAAGGCTACAGCATCACTAGCTTTCACAGCTTCAATATAATCCCGTGAGACACTATAGCCATTTTCAGGAGTTTGACTATGCCTGCTTGCTGATAGTCCTCACACTGAGTTTATTGGCTGTTGACATGGAAAGAGAAAGCAGGAGGAGACCCTCACCTGAATATCAGGCCACTCCTCCCAACCAGTTGTACGTAATTCTGCTGTAATTGCACATGGCTTCAGGGTGTCTAGGAAGGGCTAGACTAAGAAGACATAAGTGGAGAAGGATTAGGGGAAGCGGGAGCCATCTGCACAGCCACTGGGGAGCCATCATCCCCATTGGTTGCAGAACTTCCACTATGACTGCTGCTCAGTCACTTATGCTTTTGACCTGAACCACTCACCCATGCCTAAGAAACTCACAGGTTTCCCAAAATGAACTTTGGTGGAATTACACCTTGCTTTGTTGTCAGGATCAAAGGAGGAGAGGTAGACATTGTTTACATCTCCCAAGGGCAGGACTCTTAGCAACAAAAATATTTACAGATATCTGTATTTTTGACAGAAAAAAATCATTAAATTGCCAATTGGTGAGTCTACAACATGGAGTATGTTGCCTTTCCTAGTTTGATAGCAAATGACAAACTCAAATTTTCTGCAGAGTACCTACTGAAGGATAATTCAGCAAAGACACTTGGAAGGTTTTAGGCTTCCACATGCATCGTAAATTTGTCTAAGGCTTTCGCCTCCATGTGCATTTTAACTAGTCTCAGCTGCAACATACCCTACGGATTCTACTTCATAATATTGAATTAGTGATTTCTCACCTTCTCTGAGCATTTGCTGACCTGCCATTGTTCCATAGTGAAGCACAGACTGCTGAGAGACTGCATCTTTAGTCATTTTAAACCAGTCAGAGAGTGCCTCGCTGAAGAAACAATTGAACAGGTACATAAACATTTGTCAACTTGTCCAGACCCAGAGAAAACCACTCAAAATCACTTGCCTTGTTTGTAAATTGACTATTGATTTTGTTCTCAGTGTTCTGAACTCTTAAAAAAAACAAAACGCTTCCTACTAAAATGCTAATAATCTTAAGTTTATTTCTCAAGAAACCTTCCTTTAACTGCTAAGATCACGAATGATTTAATTAATTCACCGTCAGTACATGGATTTTCTTGCTTGCTTGACTGGCAAATGGGACACATGGAAGCTACAGTGTCCTTGCATAACTAATAGAGCCTTGCATTATTTCATTTCATGAGAACTATAATGTATTCTGTAATAAATAAAACTTGCTAGTTAATTTTCAGAATACAAGTCCCTAGAGTTGCCTTATTTCCAGCTACAGAGAAGTAGAAGACACTGAAGCCTGCTGAGCTACCACGAGATCCCACCCCAAACTTGAAGTTTAGAGCAGAAAATTGCTAATGGCCAAGTTGGCCTAATGATCTGAAGACATGACAAGGTCATACACCAGAAGATCTGAGTTTCTCACCTGTCCTTTGTCATGCCTTAAAGACATACACACAAATTCTACTTTACCATGTTTTCTGCTCTTGACATGAGTGTATTAAGTATCAATAAAAATGCTTTACAGTATAGTGATATGTGTGGTACTCAAAACACCGTTGCATTACAGATGCATCATGGATGTATCCCCATAATTTGCAGCATGTTCAGCATTACTTTGTAAGGATAAAGCCCTTGTGTCTGGTCTCTGTTCATCCACTCAATCAACTCTGCTGTGGTTTCATGAAATCACATAGATCAAACCTACCAAATGAGTATGAAATTCACCAATAAAACTTTATTGTTCATAACATTTTCATTTGCCACCCAATTTTCCTTTTGGGTTTTCCCAATCATTTAACGTATACAAGCCATAGTTAGTTCACAGCCCTACAAAGACAGGTGGTAGATCAGAAATGGCCATGGTCCATGATGTGTTCAACCTCCAATCGGTGTAACAAACTCCAGGTCTGAGAGCTAGACCCAAATCCTTATATAGTGAACGGCTCAGCTAATTCATAGACCCTTCCCTTTGGTTGAAGGAAAGATTAGAATTCCTTGAGGAAGGGACTCCAGAGGACACACTGTAAGCCTAACCAGAGGGAACCTCAACCAGTCATTATAGTGACATCTCCTTAAAACTGATAATATTGGATCTTTCAGGAATTAGCTAAAAACAACATGCAGAAAAATAAGCTAGTTGGTGAGAATGTTATGGAGTTCTGTGTTTTTATAACCAGTCATTAAAAAAAAACAAAAACCACAGGCCAATGTTTTCACTGTTTACCTCTGTCCTTGTCCTTCAAGTAGCATGCTGGTAGGCTCTGTCCCTTCCCCTGTCATCAGTCAGGCGCGTCTCTGGCCTCTCTTCTCTGTCCTTCCAGCACCCATGAGATCACAGCACCGTCCATTTATAGGACAATTGCTAAAATAGCAACTGAGGTGAGACAGAACACTAGCAGCCAAGAAATAAATGTTTTGGTCCATGTGCTTAAAAATAACCAGTATGGAATGACATCATGGGAAAAATCCGGAGAAGACTGAGCTCGCCCAGTATGAGGTCACCGAGGCTCTTCTCCTGGATGCGCCTCCCCTTTCTATACCCCAAGCATCAAAAGCAAGACAATCCCCTGCATTTCCTAGTGTTTGTTCCTCCAAAGCAGAGGGAGGTATAAGGAATTTTCATTTAGTAACCAGCATTATCTACTCTTGACCCATGGCATTATTTTTAGTTTTTAAGAGAAAAACACTAAAGGTGACGGCAGCTTATGCAGCATCTTGTCGTTTTCGACACAACCAAAATCTTAAAGCTCCATTTATTTCTTGAAGAACATGATGCAGCTTTTATTGGAGAGGGACGTAACAAAGAGAATAAGAAAAGAACTAACAGTTACATATTAGCCCCCACTGCATACCCAACCCTGCCCCACCCTACGCACCTCACTCCATCTGATAATGAACATCCATCACATGTTAAGCATACTGTAAGTGTCAGAATGCAAGCTAAAAGCATCCCAGGGATAAACCAGGGGCCCAAATTCTCAGCAGGAAGATGCAAGAGACTAGTTAGAACCCCTGGATCTAAACTAATATGCAGAAGGAGTAAGACTGACAAATGGGATGAAAGCTGGCTCTTTCCTGACTGAAGATCCCAAGCAAAAACTATGGCTCCTATGAAATGGCAGTTCTGTCTTCCCATAAAACCGTGCCAGGGAGCCTTCCTGCGGACTTTGTCAGTATCTTTGACTGAATCCTATTGTGTCGGTCACCATGTTTATCACACAGCCATGCGACTATGGACCTTCTTTCCTGCACTGTAAGCTTCTTGAGGGTAGAGACTGTTGGTTTTCTTCTTGCTTGGGAACTATTTTCTTATTTTTAATAAACAAGTCTTACAGACTCCACATTGGAATTAATGTCAATGAACAAAGTGGTGTGTACCATGGCTTTTAGGTCTAAAACTCAGTGCCATGTACTGTGATATAAGCCCAAATGAAGTTTTCAAAAATTGCAGTTGAATTCACCTTGTATTAAAATGAAGTTATATGGGACTATGTAGCAGTAACAGTGAGTCTTCTGGAATTGGATTAAGCTGAGGATCTTGCCCTCACTACCTACTGCCTGAATAATGTTGTTGAATTCCTTTAAGTCTCTGGACACCTAAGTTTTCTCATCTGCAAAATGGGGATGTGATGAACACTGGATTCATAGAGCTACTGTGGGAATTAAATGAAGTGGAATGCATGCGAGATCTAAAAGGAACCTGTGTGGTGAGACTCTCTTAATCACACTGCCATCAATAGTAGAGGAGAATGCAGTATTAGGGAACAGTGGTCCATCTGCACCTGGGGTCATAAAGCAGTGGTCTACTAGAGGACAACCTTCACGACATTTAAAAGATTAATACAGAATACATACATGACCTCAATTTTTAATTCTAAAAACATCAGAACTGGGAAAAGATACAAAGGACAATTCACAGCAACAGAAACTCAGTCAGGGTATATAAGCACACATTTACAAATTAAACAAACAAACCAACAATACACTCCAGTCTTGCAAAAAGAAATGGAAACAAAGTAAACTTTAGGGAGTAAAATTCTTAGCGCCAAACTGGAGAACATTTCAGGACACGATGTTGTCAAGTCTCCACACGGATCAGGTGACGGGATCTTCTACAGACGGTGGGGGTGTAAATTGGTATTGTAGACTGAGATCAGGAACTCTCTGGTAAGACTGGGCATGTGCATATCTGAGCACCACGCAGTCTCCACAGTAGGACCATGCAATGGGTTTACGAGCAAAGTACTTGACCAGACTGGCCTAAAGCCTTCCCATTTCACAGAAGCTGTTTCCACACCCATCAACATTTTCGGGGCGTATTGTTTCTGAAAAACCTTCAGCTAATGAAAGAAGGAGCACCTCCCTCAATGACTGTTTAGGAAGCAGGAAGCCCTTGGGCCTCTAGTTCTTTCCACGCTGCACAGTGAGGTACTGAGCTGCACTGCAGAGAGGGAAAGGAGAAATAACACTCTAATAGTCCAGTGACAGAACGTGCAGTTCCTACGAGCAACTCTTGGGTGAGGCATCTGAAATATGCTATGAGTTTTGAAGGGTCACCTTCTATGGGTCTCCTCCAGGGTCCCCTCAGTGCTGTGCCTGGAAAGCATGAGCGGCTTGAAACAGCATCACTGGACATTTTTCTGCGCATCATTGAGATGGTGTCCAGAACTATATAATTTCCTAGAGTTCGACAAAAGTCCACATGAGAGACTCTTTCATAATTTCTAACTTGTTTTGTGGCCTTCAATCAAACACTGAAAATGCTCATTAGAAAAATGCATCATGAAGAATCTAATTGAAATTAGTCTTCATCTCATTTTATTTGTAACATGCTCAATGCTTTCTCTTCCTAGGAATAACCAAGAAAAGCGCAAATACAGGCATGCATTCATGGTGATCAATTTTAGCATTCCACAGCTTTCTCCTTAAACACCAGGGGACAATTTTATGCTGAGGATGATAAATTAGTGCATTATTGATGATATTTACACTTGATTCTAATTCATTTTCCCCCCAAGGCGGAACATAATCAATACACACACACACACACACACACACGTTCACCAAAGAAATACCATGGTTTTTATCATAGAACACACTTCAGATATAGCTTACAATTTCAGCTGAACTGCACCTCCTTTTTTATAAATTAGATAACACAAATAGTCACATGACCCACTTTCTTTTTATAACTTATTAAAAAAGTGGATACATTAATTCTATTGGATATGCATCATTTAAATCTCTCTGCAATATATATTCTGACATGCATTTCTCAGTAGTTTTAGTAATGTTTGATATTTATTCAATATTAAATGCAAATTAAATTCAAGAGATACTTGATGACATTTCTTAATCTTGTATTAACATATTTATTTGAATTAAAAATTAAGTTGGGCTATTTTTGTTCAAAAAAGGTTTCATCGCTGATATATTTGACAAAGGCATGGGCTTTCTCCATATAGGAAGGATAGTTTTACAAATAAGCAAAGAAAATCTGCAGCTCTGAAGTTTCAGTGAAAATCTGTCTCATAGTGTGATGAGATTAAAAATTATCAATAGTAAAATAGACAATGTGTCTGTTTTTCCAATGGTGACAGACACTGCTGGCTGCTGGGCTCCTGTATGTCCCAGTGTCTTATCTAAGGGCTCAATGTGTCTTCTAGACTCTTTTTTTCCCTTCAGATCTTGGTGGTGGTAGTGGTAGTGTGTGAGTGTGTGTGATGTGTTTATGCATATGGCATATTTACAGACACACTTGCCATGGCACTGAGATATAGGTCAGAGGATAACCTCAGATGTTGGTCCTTACCTCTCACCTTATTTGAGACAGGCTCTCTTTGTTTGCAGTTGTGCATGTTGGGTTGGTTGATCTGCAAGCTTCAGGGGATCCTCCGGTCTCTGCCTCTCTGTAGGAGTGCAAGGATTAGAGACGTAGCTGCCACACCAGGCTTTGTGTGCATGCTGGAGATTTGAAGTTAGGTCTCCAAGCTCACACTGTACGCACTTTGGGTAAAGCACTTTCTTTACCCAAAGAAATGGCACAAGCCATTTCTCCAGCCCTGTGTCTTCCAATCTTAAAGGACTTGCACATTGTCTCTGGCCTTCACTCCTGTTCAGAGGAGCCTGAATGTACCAGGGACAAGGAATGAGAGATGAGAGCCCACGGATACGTTCTCCATTGCCTTGTCCTTCCTGGGACAGTTTATTGTTGTGGTTGTTATATTTTATTTGAAGTTTTGAGATAGGGTCTCATCCCATAGGATTGACCGGTCTAGTACTCACTATGTAACCAGGCTGGTCTCAATTTACAGCAACCCGTCTGCTTCTGTCTCCCAGTTGTGGGGATTACAGGCACAGGGCATCACATCCAGCTCATGGAACAGGTTCAAGGTGCTGGTTACAGGACACCTGGGGGGCAGGAACTCACTGGATAATCCCCTTTGGGTTGGATTTGCTTGTTTTTCAACCTCACATTTCCCATGCTTTCATTGAACTCTCAGGGACAATTTGCTAAGAGAAGTGTTCACACTGAAATGTTATTATTTCTGTTTAATAAGCTACAAACAATTATTGTTTGGTAAGAGAGCATTGTTTCCCTGACCAATTGTGCAACAATAGGATTACTCAATCCAGAAGTTTTCATTGTCGAGGAAATAAACTCTCAGATAAATCTATTGAACTCAGCACTGAATCTTTGCATCTGCTTTGAGGGGAGCCCAAACTAAGACACTGGCTCATCTACAAGAGTCAGCTTTAAGTGAGAGAAGAATGGGTACCATTTAGAACAATCTGGGGCATCTTAGAAGACGTTCCTGGGCAGGCAGTCTCAGACTTAAGGCTGCTAATAAGTTGTTCAAATGGGTGGTAGAATTTCTGCCTGTCAAGTGAGGCTCAACACTCATGGCTTGAAGAAGGTAAGAGGATTTGCAGCAGATATAGGGCTAGAAATATTTTTGTTGGGGCCTGAGTTGGCTTAGTGGTTAAGAACACTGGCTACTCCTCTAGAAGACCCAGGTTCAATTCCCAGTGTCTATATAGCAGTTCATAACCATCTGTAACTTCAGTTCCAGAGGATCTGACATCTTCTTCTCCTTGGGCACCAGGTATGCTAGTCACATATACTTATACCCATAAATTTTTTTTTTAAGAAAAATGGTTTATAATTTTTTTTAGACTAGTCATGTTTGGTTCTACCCTAGGTCTCTGGACTATCCAGTCTCTGGTTTCTGGCCTTCTGAGCAGTGTTGGGCATGGGCATGGGCATGTGGAGTGGGCCTGAAATGAAATCAGACATTG